GCAGGACTGGCCTAAGGGGTAATTTTTAGTTGGGTTTTAAAATAATTTTTAAAATAACAAAGGCCAAATTAATATTTCCTTTTAATTATGTTTTTAATGGTAGTATTTTTGTATTTTTGTATTTGTTTTTATTAGGCTGTTAGCCGCCCTGAGTCCGCAAGGAGAAGGGCGGGGTAAAAATATAATTAAATAAATAAAAAATAAATAAATAAATAAATACTTATGAAGGCACATTAAAAGAACAGGAAGCTTATCTTTAAAATAAGACACTTAGTATTATTCTGCAGGGATATTTGACTCAAGCCTTTCAGAGAAATCTTAAATGTACAATAATAATAATAATAATAATAATAATAATAATAATAATAATAATAATAATAATAATAATAATAATAATAATAATAATAATAATAATAATAAAGTTGGAAAGGACCTTGGAGGTCATCTAGTCCAACCCCCTGCTCAGGCAGAAAACCCTATACCATTTCAGACAAATGGCTGTCCACTCTCTTCTTAAAGACGTCCAGTGTTGGAGCATTCACCGCTTCTGGAGGCAGGTTGTTCCACTGATTAATTGTTCTAACTGTCAGGAAGTTTCTCCTTAGTTCTAGGTTGCTTCTCTCTTTGGTTAGCTTCCATCCATTGTTTCTTGTCCTGCCCTCAGGAGAATAGCTTGACTCCCTCTTCTTTGTGGCAACCCCTGAGATATTGGAACACTTCTATCATGTCCCCTCTCATCCTTCTCTTCATTAAAATATGGTATGGAAGATTTGTTTCTAAAACATTATTATTAAAAATAATAATGCTTAGGCTACAGTTAATGTGGTAAGAATTTCATAGAAGTACAGGTTTTAATTCCTCTGTCTTGCAGGGAAACTGGAAGTTAAGTTGAAAACATGTTGCTGGTATGTTTGCATGTCACATTAGTTTTAATTTAGTATAATATCCCATTCTGTCATTATGGTTTATTGAAACAAGCCTCATTTCCACTAATTAAACTTAATAGTAGTTTGCCCAGAGTTAAGATGACATAATAAATTGTGGTTAACGACCAACAGATGCAAAACTTTCCAAACTTCTCATTGTTATGCTAACACCAGTCTGCACAAACAAGCAAAGCCCCATCCGTGGGATGCAGGCAGCACACAAAACCACACCCCGTCCAGTCCGTGGAAAAACCTCACTCCACAGAACTGGTCCCTGGTGCCCAAAAGATTGGGAACCTCTGTGCTAACAAGACTATTGGGAGGGCCCATGCATGAAATTTGGCAGAAATGGGCTTTTTGGGGGCGGGGGGCGGGATAGGAGGTCCTTTAACAAGTAATTGAAGTTCAGAATTTTCCTGCCACTGAAGATAATTACAGGAATACCAGCAGTTCTTTAGGTCTACAAACTAGTTGACACTTTGTAATTACAATTATAAAGTAATTGTAAAGTTTATACAACTAATTATTAAGGTATAGATACTACAGCCCTACCCAGGTAGAAAAGATAATTAAATGTAAACTAGTTTTATATGAGCAAAACAACAATCATTTCATATTTACAATATAATACATACCCTTTTAACAGCATGAACAATATATTTTGCTGAGTGCAGATGTATTCAACTGTGGGTGTTCTAGTACCAATTTGTCTTCTCAGAATATTGTTAAATATTTGAGCCACGTCCTTTTTGCCCTATCAAAAATACAAACTAGGATGTTATGTTGGTTATGTTTTAAAGACAAACTGATTGATTCAATCGAAGGACTTGTGTTTTATCACTATTTTTATAAAATATATATTTTATAAATATAAATATATATTTTTATTCTTTATTGAATAGCAAATATAATTAGTTTACAGTCACAAAGATATATCAACTTTTTATTGCCTAATTTTACGTTTTGATTAAAGGGACACGTCCTAAAATAAAAGAGGATGTTATTTTCAAAAATTGATGACGAAAGTTGACGTGGATACTGACATACTATAAATGTAGGACTTCAATGTCTTCTTTTAAAGAGAAACGGTGGTTCTTGGGTTGAAGAGGTCGGTAGTATCAAATGGGGAACAAGTAGAACTGATCGAGACTTAAATAATGCATGTCAAAATAGAATGTTTCTAATCCCTTTGAAAAAATCAGCCAATCACAAATGTTTGTATGTACCACAACTCTCTATTCTATACACATAGACAATACAACATATAATTATAATGAATCATTTTCTGTGATTCTCCTCCTTTTACACACATTATTTCATTGTATTTATTCACAGGAGGAAAGAATGCAAATATTTTAATAATTTTTTTGGTTGTTGGTTATATAACGTTAGTTATATTACTAAGGGGACAGAGATGAGACTACAGGAATAAATGCTGCAAAATATACTTCTGTAGGAAGACAGGAGGCACTGACTGACTACAGTCCAAATACAAATATTTGTAATTCCACTGTAAACTGACTCAAAACAGCAGTAGTTTTTTCCTTTGACTAACGTTTCTAGAAACCACTTCCCTCAAAGTGCATATCACAATAATAAAAAATTATTCAATAGCCCAGCCAACTCTGCCTCAAGTCCTGTGATTTTTTTCCCTGGATTTATCATCAATGCCAGCATTTGTCATAAAAATGTGATTATGAACAACAGTAATGCTTTATTTGAACTATTTTCTATTTCTAAATGATGTAACTTTATCATGATGATAATTACACATATTATACTGGAAGTGTTGAAAAAGAAAAGTTCCATGTTTTTGATGCAAACAGAAAAAATTATTGTCTTCAGTGTGAGAGATAGCTTATAATCATATTCTGTATCTGTCAAGAAGCTACTGAAGATCAAATGTATTGTTAAATTTTAGTCTAAAAGAGCAAACATCCTTTTGATAGAAAATACTATTTTAAAATATATATATATGCACATCTCTAAAGATATATTCCATTACTAGGTTATACAAATGTAATTCAGTCTATAAAAATAGTAAGATAAAGGCAAGGCTTCAAAGATTAGTCAACAAGTTCTGCACTTCCCATTTAACATGTGTTTTTGAACACGTGTTCCTCATAGAATCATAGCGCTGGAAAGGACCTTGGAGGTCTTCTAGTCCAACCCCTTGCCCAAAGCAGGAGTCCTTATACCATCCTGGACAAATGGTTGTCCAATATTTTTTTTAAAAAACTCCAACAGTAGAGCACCCACAACTCCAGTAGGCAAGCTGTTGCACTGATTAACTGTTCTCACTGTCATGAAATTCCTCCTCATTTCCAAGTTGGACCTCTCTCACATGTTCCAGTTCTTACTGCTTCTGAAACACAGGGAGCCTTCAGACACAAGTCACTTGTGATACAGAGAGGGGAAGGTGGTTTGCTTATCAAAAAACTCTAGTTGCCCTCAACGTTTTTCATCCTGCCCTAAAGGCAGAGTACATAGTTTGTTACATAAAAATTGCAAATAACTAATAATGTAGGTAATGAGAGAAAACCACTTTCCCACAATGGTAGCTTATCCAGCAGTTTTTATTTTCCCATTTATAGAATAGCCATATGGAATTAATGGGCATATTCAGGTTCTGGGAAAGAGATTCATTCAACTTGTTACTGGAGTTTTTCTTTTTGTATGAATCCCTCAACTTTCCATGGGCCTCAATGGGTACCCAACTATGCAAATTACTTGTCGGCTCTGGAATGTTCTAGGGCACTGTCAGTTCTTGTTGACAAACAGTGTATGTTTCATAATCTTATACAACTATATATCCTTTTATATCCAAAAAGACATCAATGTGGTTTCTTTCAGCTGTTACAGTTATGAATTAGTTTAGTTTTTTTAAAAAAAACTAAAAAAAACTTCAAATAGCTGCAAGGAATAATCCATAAATCCAGCAGGAACCCGATTTCTCCCCACATTCCATGCATGGAGATTAGAAAACAATAATCTATTCTGGTAATTATTTTTGATGAAATTCAAATTTGAAATCATCATTAGTACATATTTTCCTACCTCAAAATCAATGAGTTGTAGATCAGCTACTAGGGTGCTAAGAAGACCGCTGTTGTATAGTTCTTGAGCAAGCTGAGCTACAGCTTCTGTCTGAGGTTCCTTTTCATTGGTGCCATATAAGATTTCTTTCATGGCAACTAGGTTTTTTGAAACTTCTTCGGTAGCCTGCACAAAGAAAAAGGCTAGTTACTTTTAAAGCTGAAAATTGTTTCTTTACTAATTTTACTACTTTTTTTTCATTTATCTTAACACACCTTTACTGAAGATACGAAGAAAAAAGATGTGATCAAAACAAAAAAAAGCAAATAACAAAAAAACAACAGAAGGGGAAATATATAGCATATATATCAAATTGCAAAGGAGTTTCTCATTCTATATTTAAAAAGATAGTTCACTAACATTACAAAATATCATAAAATCAATGTAAAATCAATGTGAAAGAACATATTTAGTCATTAAATAGTATGATTTATAGATAACACTGTATTTCCAAAAGCAATTAAGTTACATATCTCTTGAATCAAATCCTTACTACCTTTCCAGTTTTTCAAAAATAATTCACTTAGCAACATCCAAAACTCAATATGACCAAATCACTGCAAAAATAATCAGATCCCAAAGTTATGGGATGTAATTTATCATAACAGTAGCATCCTTATCACTGTAAAAACATCTCCCAGATGTCTATGGAGATTCTCAATCATCAGAACTGAAGAAGCTTCTTAGATGAGAAGTGAAATGTTTTCAAGGAAAAATAAAACAAGAAATTCCAGTTGGCTTTTTGGAAAAGCACCTTTGATCTCCCAGATATTAAGCTGAACAATTCTGGAATTGAAGATATCTCATTTAGGCCACCCTCTTTTTCTGAAAACCCATAAAATACGTCCGAATCACACCTTTTTTATTACAAAGTTTCTTATCTAGGAACCTGTAAAAGATTCTCTGGACTATTAGAATACCCCTGTTTTACATATCTTTACAACATGCTTGCTAACTATTTTTTTGGCTGTTATAGTCTGTAAAAAACCAGGGGCCCAAGTTATTTTGCACACTTAAATACATTTAGTTTTTGACACATTATCATACATATGTCACAAAATGGTCACCTTGGAAAAGCTTACATAGTCCCAGCTGTTTTGCTGGGTATATCCTGTCACAAAGCTCAATACTCCAGAAAAGAAAGAGAGAAATGTGAGCATTTAGAAATGAAGAACGCAATTACTGAAAGCCAGCATGGGTTTGCTAAAAACAGAAGCTTTATTGGCTTCTTTAATTAAGTGACTAAATTAGTGAATCAGGGAAATGCTATGGATATAGTATCCTTGACTTCAGTAAGACATTTGACAAAGTAAACCAGACTACTTCTTGGCAAGACAGAACAATGTAGAATAGGCAGTCCTCAATGGAACTACATCTACATGGAAAGAAGCATGAAGTGGGCAGAATCAAAGTTCTGTTTTGGGCCCGGTGCTCTTCAATATCTTCATAAATGATGTAGATGAGGGAACAGAAGGGGAACTCATCAAATTTATAGGCGACACCAAGCTAGGAGGAACTGCTAATACTTTTAGAAGATAGGCTCAAGATTCAGAAGGACCTTGAAAGATTGATCACTGGCCCATCCGATAAGATGCAGTTCAGCGGTGAGAAAATAACATCCTGCACTTAGGCAGGAAAAACCAAATACATAAGTATAGAATAGGTATTTGGCTCAACAGTAGTAACTGTGAGAGGGATCTAGGTGGATCATACCTTATGTATGAGTCAGCAGGGTGCTGCAGTTGCCAAAAAAGCTGGTTCTAGGCTGCATCAACAGAGGAATAGCATCAAGATCATGGGAAATTATAGTACTGCTCTATACTGTACTAGTGAGGCCACATTTGGAATACTGTGTCCAGTTCTGGTCATCATGACACAAAACATACTGAGGCCCTAGAAAGAATGCAGAAGAGAGCAACCACGATGATAAGGGTTCTGGAGTCTAAATTATACAATGAATGGTTGTGAGAACTAGGTATGTTTAGGCTAATGAAGAGAAGGCTCAGGGAAGACACGAGAGTCTTCCATTACTTGAAGGGATGTCACAGGGAACAGGATGACAATTTATTCTCCATAGTACTGAGGGTAGGACAAGAAGCAATAGATGCAAGCTCATCAGAGGGAGATGCAACCTGGAAATAAGAAAGCATTTCCTGACACTGAGAATGATTAATCACTGGAACAGCTTGCCTCCCAGAGTTGTGGGTGCTCCATCACTAAAGGTTTTCAAGAAAAGATCGACAAACATTTGTCAGAACACCTGCTTTGGATAGGGGATTGAACTAGAAGACCTTCAAGGTGTCTTCCAGCCCTATGATTCTATGAAAGGGAAAGGAAACCAGACTAGTAGGACCAATGGGCATTATTTTCGGGACATTAGGGTGGCTTAGTGATGAGATATTGGATGTCTGGAGGATGTAAAAAAACAGTTATCATAATCTCTTGGAAGGATAAAAAAATGTCAGGCAGAAAGAGGAGACAGACTATTAATTAAGTTCATATAGTTGACTATTTATAGCATCAAGAGTAATTATACACACCACAAGCACACTGCCCATTTAAAAATAAATGCTGAGGTTAACCAAAAAGATAGAATTAGATCAACATATATTCAGAAGCAGACAAAAAGTCACCCTAATATACCAGCTACTAAATGCAACTATTTAGGATTCTGCACCCAAAATCCCAAGAAAAGCTTCTCCTTCAAGGTGTATAATTTAAACAAAAAACAAAAAGACCTTGTCCTTTGCTTATTATGTTCAAGTCAGGATATTAGCTTGTCTCTTACTAAACCAGACTCAAACTACAGTTTGTTCTTGGCTTCTTTCAATAAATGTTGAGGAAAACTGCATAAGAAATTACACTGCATAAAAATTATACACATGCATCAGTTGTATAGATTTTTAACTGAATTACAATTAGAAAGTCAGGGGGGTGCAATATTGTTATATGACTTCATTCTGAGTTATAAATTCAAAAGAGTAAAATGACCTCTGGTTATTTCCTCTGCTTCATATATGCAGGAAAATAAGTTTAATTATTTAAATTGTTTTTTTAGCCCAACAAGTTCTGTGGGCAATCCATACTTTATAAAGTATGGTAAATTTAAATTTCAATGAAGTTTATTTATTAGATTTTATACTGTTTCAATCATGTGACTTTTGGCAGTGTACATAAAAAACAAATATAATAAAATGCATATAAAATTAAAAACAATTCAACAAAAATATTTAAATAACATTTAATTATATAATTTGAATTCTTAATTCTGAAAACAATTATTTCACTATAATTCTCTCTTTGCTAGCTACTGGAGAAAAACTAAAAATATATAAGTAATGTTAGCTATCTCCTGAAATAATAATTCTAAAAAATCCATTTGTCTTTATGTACTTAAGTGATCATACCAGAATACATACTTTTCTTATAATAGAAAAATGAGAATATAGATTTTCCCTGCTTCCCAAAATTGAAGCAGGAAATAAAGGAAAATTCTACCCTCAGATGGAAGTGAAGTTCTTAAACTAAGAAACAGAATTCTTAGTTAAGAAGAAGCAAGAAAGACTACTTCCTTCTGTTAATCAACCACTCCTCTTTCTGAAAAGTGTAAGAGAATACAGGTAGTCTTTGACTTATGACCACAATTGGGACCATTTTTGGTCATAAATTGTGGTCATAAGTTGAGGCACCCACATGACTGGAAACAATTTACTGTTTTTACATGCTTATTAAGTAAATCATGCAATCATAAGTTTGAATCATATGGTCATTATGCAAATCCATTCTCCCAAAAGTCATGTGATTGCAGGGAGGGGCAGAAAAGTTAGGCAATGCTTTATGGGCAGTAAAGCACTGTTTCTAGGCTGTTATAACTTCATTAAATGACCAGTCATAAGCTGAGGACTACTTTTGTTGTAGAAACATATTTTAAGCAAGAACCACATGTGAAGGATTCCAGTTCTAACTGAAAAGTATTGCAATTTAAATATTGCATTATGACAACAAAATCTTCCTTCATCATTACTACTTCTAGGCATTTAGTCCAGGGAAATGTTTTGTGAACATAAAGTTACCATTTCAACTGAGAAGTAGATTAGGCAAATAAGAATTCTGGTAGATTAATAGAGTAATGATAGATTAATGAACAGTGGGATATAAACTATAAGAAAATCAGGCGACAGTGAAAATGCAGACGGGAAAGTAAAGGAAGTTTTTGTTTGTTTATATGGGAACAGAGAAAAGTTTCAAAGAAAAAATATAAACGTTATTAAAATAATGCTGATAACAAATTAGTAAGAGTTGGAAAAGCTTCTGCGGCAGTAGATTTTCCATGTAATGTCCTTCTACAAAGGTTATAATCATTATTTGCCAAAAATAAAACAAGAGATACTGCTGCTGAGGATTAACAAAAACGCTTGGGAAAATTTGTACCATTAAACAATCCCTCCAGGACAGTTCCATAAAAAGAAAATGTAAACTTTACCTTTTCTACCTTCTTGTCAGAAATATCTTGTTTTTCTAGAACTGCCATACTTTCTTTCAAATTCTTCACTATGTCTGCAGGAGACTTGTGTGATTTGCCAAAGGGAAATGGCATGCTTGCAAACCACAAGTGTCTTTTCTTCTAGAAGTCTTCTTTTACCTAAAAATTAAGAAGGGAGAGAGTTAAGAGTAGTAAAGAAAGTATGTAACACCTGGATACAAAAAAGCGGAATTCAGCTGAGATTTTCAGCTTCAAATTACCGCAGATACACTGGAGTATATCAGTATAAGTTTATTTATTTATTTATTTATTTATTTTTATTTATTTATTCGATTTATATCCCGCCCTTCTCCTTACCGGACTCAGGGCGGCTAACAGCCTTATAAAACCAATGCTACAATAAATACCTAATTTAAAACCGAATTAAAAAGAAATATTTGCTATGGCCTATATAATTAAAATTTCTCTTAAAAACCCCACTAAAATTCCCTAGGCCAATCCCGCTTGTTGGA